TTTTTTTTCTTCTCTTCTAGCCATCACGAGGACTCACAAATGTCGTTGTCCATTAAAAAGCGGCAAGCGACATATATCCGACCTGTGTAAAACTGTACATTTATATATATACATATATATATTTATTTATTGTTTACAACCTGTTACAATATTATATTAAACATTCACATATTCTTCTATTATTTATTATTTGCCATATTTCTTCCTTCAAAAATAAAAAAAAACCAAATGCCGTCCATTTTATATTCAACAACATGTTATATCAAAAATGATCTCTATCGTTTACGTATTTATATTGATGATCAAGATGAAAAATCCGATATAATTTCATCTAAAAATGTTCAATTAAGAACAGATTCTTTGGATATTACCGGAACTGACATTCCATTCAATCGTATAAAACCTGATTTAACTCGATTAAATTTTGAATTATTAAATGATAAAAAAATAAATAATAACATTCCGAATACAATTATTCTTAATCATTTGCTTAATATTCAACAAACAGCATCAATATCAAAAAAATCTAATAGAAATTTTAGTAATAGTCTTCAGTTACAAACATTAGATGTATCTGATCGAAATACCGATGTTAAAACAATTCCTATTTTTGAACAATCTCAAGATTCAAGTCAAACACAATTAACTTCAAATAATTCAAAAAGTGGACAATTTAGTTTTCGAAGATTTTTTTCTTCATTGTCAGATTCAAATAGTGAAGCTATTTTATTATCAAAAACAACAATTAAAATTAATTATGTTGATGTATCAAATTCAATTCGATGGAATATCAAAAGTTTAGAACTTGAAATGGATACAGAAGATGTAGCTAATGAATTATATTCAAATTTAAATTTATGTTTAACAACATTAATACAAAGACCACATCGTTTGTTAGCTTTTGTTAATCCATTATCCGGCAAAGGTAGGAAGAAATCTTGTAAAAATTAATGAAACTCGTTTTTTTCTTCTGTCTGTTCTCTATGGAAACAGTATAAAATGACGTCTTTTTAACGATGCGTAAACAAACACCGGAGAATAAAAGCTCGACATACTTCTTTCCTCTCAAGGCAAATTATGCATCTAATTTTAACATCACTATAGAATATCAAAAACATTCATGTCTAAAATAAACTTGAACTTCTAGTTTTTTTTCTCTGATATCAATGTATTTAAATAACAATATTGACAAAGGTTAAAATTTTGACATATAGATAAGAAATCAAGAGTCATATGTTATTTTGCTCATCATCATCATTATATGATATAAATTTTAGGTCGAGCACGTCCTGTCTATGATAAGAAAGTATTACCTATATTTCAAGAAGCAAACATAACTGTTGATACAATATATACAGAACGTGCTAATCATGCACGAGAATATGTTATCAATGAAATACTTGATAATTATGATGGTATTATATGTGTTGGTGGTGATGGGATGTTTGCGGAATTATGTCATGGTCTTCTATTAAGAACAGCTCATGACGAGCAAATAAATATTAACAACCCACAAGTGAATATAGTACGACCTAAATTGCGAATTGGTATTATACCAGCTGGTTCAACAGATGCTGTCGTTTTTGGCACAACTGGCTTAAATGATCCAGTTACAAGTGCACTACAAATTATTGTTGGAGAATCACTTTCAATTGATATAACAACAGTAAGAGAACAAATCTTCGTATTTTTTCTTTTCTGATAAAACACGTTAGCGAGTACTTCAAGAAAGTATATGAGTCATCGATATAGATATTACATTCAAGTAGTGACCGAACAAAATGTCACAGGCGTATAGCTCGGATACATCGAGTATCCACATTCCATGTACATACATTGTCCAACATCAAAAACTTACTAGTAATTCGTTTTGTCCTAGCGCCCATTCAAGTATGAAAAAACTCAATAATATATTATTGACTTAAAATCATTTATTCGAGATATTTTGTCATTAATTCTTATCTCTATATAGGTACACAATGAGAATGGTTTTGTCCGTTTTATGGCAACAATGCTTGCATATGGATTTTTCGGTGATATTATTCAACAGTCAGATAGATGGCGTTGTCTGGGTCCATTACGATATGATTTAGCTGGATTTTGTCAATTTATTCGTAATACATCATATCATAGTGAAGTAACACTAACATTATCTCCACATAAACCAACACAAATTCTTCATCCAAAAACAACAACATCATCATCATCATCAAATAATAGTGGTATAACATCATCTGTTGCATCTGATTCTCAAAAATTAATAAATACTAGTAATTTATCATTAACAGATGATAGTTTTAAAACGAAATCTACCGATACAATTGACAAAATTGTAACACCAGTTGTTGCATTTTGTAGTCGAAATTGTGATTTATGTGCTGACGAAGAAAAACATGATCCTAGTAAAATTCATTTACCATTACAAATTAAACGTGAAGGTAGATATACAACTATCAATTGTCTTAATATGCCATGTCGTTGTGCAAAAAGTAAATATGGAATGTCACCATTTGTTCATCTAGGTAATTTTAGTTAAAGAAAAAGAAGAAAAAAAAGACCGAAAATTTTATTTTTTAGGTGATGGATCATTTGATTTAATTCTTGTTAAACGTTCTTGGCGTACAGGTTTTCTACGTTTTCTATGGCAAGTTGCTAATGATAGTCGAACAATAGAAGATTTACCAAATGTTGAACGATATCGTGTGAGTGAAGTTCTTATACGTCCAATAAATACAGGTAGAAAGCAAGCAGGTAATTGGTCTTGTGATGGTGAATTAATCCATGGAAATGAAATACAAATACGTGTTCATCGTCAAGCTCTTAGTCTTTTTGCTTCGGGTATACAATTTGAAGAAAAACAAAAAGCTGAAAATATCAAAATATCACCCACAAATTTCTTTCCATGTTTTCGAAATAAAGACAAGAAAATTTTTCAAGAATCAAATTCTTTTTGAGTTTCTTATAATACATAGACATACATTCCCTTTTTCTTCTTCTTTTCTTTTTTTGTTGTTGTTATGGTTATCGTCATATGATTGTATTTCGTTCGTTCTCTTATAATAATAATAATAATAATAATATTCTTTTAACAAAACGAAAACTGATTTTTTTTTATATTGACAATTAAACAAGTTTAGAAAAAAAATCAATTAAATTCTCATAATTAAATTCAGTAGACATTTGTAAACATGTTTTAGTTTTCATTGTTAAATTTTTATCGGCACCTAATTGAATAAGAGAACGAATTAATTCAATATTATCATAAATTATTGCAAGATGAAGTGGTGTTGCATCTTGATAATTACGTTGATTTAAATTTATAGTTGGATAATATTTTATTAATAATTCAATAAGAGGAATTGATTGAAGAGTAACACAAACATGAACAAGACTATTTCCGGATTGAGCAATTGAATTGATATCTAAGTTCGGTAAATTCTAAAATAATGAATAGATTTCTTTAAATGATGAAAAAAAACTAGAATTAACTCAACTGATTTAAGTAAATGTTCGATCATAGGAATATTTTCGAGAGTTAATGCATGAAAAAGAATATTTCGATTTTGATCATCAAGAGCATCACCAGTTAATTGTTTAGTTTTAATGAAATATTCAATACTATCAATATGATCTTTTCTAAATAGAACAACAATTTAACATTAAATAAATTTCCGGAATGTTTAAATTAAACCTTAATGCAGTTAAAATTCGCATTCGAAATTGTTCTGATGGATCATTGAATGTAGGTTTATCATCATTTTTAGATGACTGACGTTCACCTAGAAAGAAAATATATTGAATAAAATTTTAGAGCTATTTCGCAGCCTCATGAAAGTGTCCGAATGTATCAAAAATTTGGTGATTTTTGGTGAAATAATCGCGATCTATGCTAAGTTGCTAAAAGTGAGGATATGGGTCTTAGGATTTGACTGATTTTTTGCGAAACTTTTTGAAACCGCTACATTCTTAATGATGAAAAATATTACATGTTAAGATATTAATATTGTAATTTAATATATTCGAAAGATTTTTATACGTGATCTTTATGATTGAAATGAGAATACGAAATAACTGCTATGTTTAACAGATCGATTTAAATCAATGACTTATATATTAGGTACTATATTCTTGCACATCAATTACACGTGATATTGAGAAATATCAGTATGAGAGGCTTTAGCATATATATCTATATATTAATTATAACCCTAATGAAATCACTCAGATAGGAAGTATGATCAGTTTTTAGATGTGATAAGGCTTATCACAGCCAAAATGTGACCCAAAAATCAAACGTTTTTTGGTGTTACTATACGTCTAAAAGAACGAACGATGGTCTTTCATGCTCGAATCAAATTAGAAGTGACTCCTGATGATATTCCAAAGGTTGATTTAGCGATAGCTCGCAATCATATTTCGACGCAAATTCCATTGACTGAGCTATGGACTTGAAACGGTTAACTATAATTTTTCAAAATACCTTTCAAGTGTCAAAGATTCGTCAATTAAATTCTTAAAAATCTGTTGTATACAGGGTTCCCGATTGTTTTCAAAAGTGCCGTCATATAGCTTTTCCGACGCATATAATGTAGACAATACTTAAGCTACACACTTTCTGCGAAATTTTGCCCAAAAAAAGTGTTTTTATTGGAGTTTCTGGCGGAAAAATGGCGAAAATAGCATAAAAATCAGGTTTCTGACCAAGTTTTCAGCAGAACTTTAAAAATTTTGGCAGAAAGACAGACAGCTTTTCGAGTTTTGCAGGGGCTAGACCCTGGTTGTATAACTTTAGTGTATGTTATATACCTGTTGCTCTACTTTGTTCAAGTGTTTCTTGAATTTTTTCAAAAAATTCAACAGCTGCTGTACATATAGCAACAAGGCCAAATGCGCGTATAGCTAACATCCATTGTAAATGTAAACGATTATCCATATTCAATGTTAATTCATTTGGTAAACTAGCTAATAAATTTCGATATTGTTCATCACGTTTATAACGATTAAATACATCAATAAAATAAATAAAATTATAATCATTTTCAATTGTATATTCTCCTATTTGCTTATCAATATCATGAAGTATTTGTTTAGCAAATTGATTTATTTGTATAACATCAACATCATTTGGTGTAAATGCAAGTAATAAATGTTCAATAAATAATTCAAATTCCATTCGAAATAATGATTGTTTATGTTGATAATCAAATTGTTTCAACCAAAAATAAATAAAATTAACAAATTTATCTGTTGTTAATGAACGTAATCTTTCTAAACGAGATGATGTTATTTCAAGCCAATTATTAAGTAATGATGGATCAAAATAAAAAAGTATTGTATTATTTGTTTCATTAGAATTATCAGTTTCTAATACATTTTCATCAGCACGAAAACCAAAACGAGATAAACAAATTAATTCACGAAGATCACGAACACTGCGAGACATTATTTATAGAAATGTATAAGACAAATATATCACATAAAAATAAATATAACTAAAACTAAAAAAAAGAAAAACTTTTAATAAATATTTTTATTTAAAATTTTCTTACATGTGTAGTTTTCCAAGTCAAAGAAAGAAGAAAACAATGTTATGTTACAAATTGTAAATAATTATAAGTTGGAATACGAAAAGGCACGAATGAATGATTTTGTGAAGAAAACATAGTTGTTTACATTGATCTGAAACAACGGGAAAAAAATCTTTATGACTTCTATGAATCATATAATAACAAAGAATTCTTTTTGTAACCCATGACGTTATCTGCTTCCTGCACTCTCCTTCCTTCGTCAACGGCGAGAATATATGTTTTTCTCGTATGATATAGAAAAAAAAATAGAAAAGAAAAGAAAAAGCTAATAATATTATCTATGAAGCCATTTGTGACGCGTACGCTACTTATTACTAGAGATATAGATTGAAGAAGATGGGTAATCTTCAGTCTGGTCGCAGTGAACGTCCAGAATTGAGTGAACGTGAATTATCCTATATAATTCTTCATACAAAATTTACTCGAAAACAGATTAATGATTATCATGTTCGTTTTTTAACTTATTATCCACGTGGTTATGCTACTTATGAACAATTCTGTAATTTATATTCTGATGAATTAAAACATTTATCTAATTCCCAACCATTGCTTAAACGTTTGTTTCATCATATTGATACGGATAAAAATGGACGATTGAATTTCAAAGAAATTCTTTTTTTCAAAGCAATTAGTTTACCTGAAACCGATACTGATGAAAAACTACGATGGATTTTTCTCTTTTACGATACAAATGAAGATCAAGAAATCGATGAATATGAATTTTTAGATTTATGTTATTTAATCTATGATATACATGGACGTATAATAACAAATAATCGATTAGATGAATTAAAATATTTATTTAATAAATTTGATACGAATAGTAATGGACAATTAAATTGTCATGAATTTATACAATTATGTAAACAATGTACAGATTTACTTGAATTAATGACTCCAATGTTTAATAATACAAAATGGAATTTAAAAGTTAGTTCAATATTTATAGTTTTCTAATCTTATTATTTATTGTTTAGACAGATGATGAATCAATATGTACAGCAACAGCAACAACAAATGAACTTACATCGAATCAAATTGAATATTTAAAAAAACGAACAAAATTTTCTTCGAATCAAATTCTTTCTTATTATGAAACATTTCGAACTCGTTGTCATTCAGGATGTTTAACAAAAATAGAATTTATGAATTTTTATCAACAATTATTACCATCAACTGCATCATCAGAAGTTTATTCCGAATTTATTTTTCGGGCATTTGATAATTTATCAAAAGATGGTTTTATACAATTTGATGAATTTCTTCTTGCTATTTATATTCATAGTAATTCTAGTACACCACGTGAAAAACTTGAATGGCTTTATAATGCATATGATCATGATGGTGATGGTATAATTAATTATAATGAAATAAATCAAATAGTTCATGCACTTTTTATTTTATATGGAATTGATCATGAAAAACATAGTGTAACTTATGTATCATATGAAATTATGGCTATTTTAGATTTAAATAATGATGATAAAATATCAAAACAAGAATTTATGAATATGTTAAAAGATAAAGAACTTACGAATTTTTTGGCACCATCGTTTGTTAAACAAAAATAAAAAAAACTTTTCTTAGTTTCAATGTATATGAACGTAGTTGATGAATTAAATAACAAATCAGATTTGTATGAAAAGATGACGCTAGTGAAGATATTCTGTAATTGAATTTTTTAGCACAATGTGCTTCCTATATGTCAATTTCCGTTCGAACTGTTTTTATTCTTGTTTTGATTACTTCTATGAATAAATTGCATTTCATGAAATACCACATATGTGTATTCGATCAAAACAATTGTTCTCGAATCATGCAATGATAAGATAAGATGATGACGAAGGGCAAAAAAAAAAGAATGATGAAAGCCATAAATAAATGGAGCAACCTCGTCAAAACAAGACGTAGTATTTATGTTTGCTCTCTTTTTATACTCTTCGTCAGTTTGCACTGCAATCGAGGCTCTATCGAAAAACAATCTTATATATTTATGGATGCGACTAGGATTTCTATTTACTTTCATTATATTCCATTTAGATATGAAAGCTTTACGTCTTCTTCAAGCTCGTAGTTTTTCTCACACATATTCTTCATGTCGAGGTTTGTTAATTATGAATAATGTAACAATATCAAAAACAAAAACAAATGTGTATTCAATTTAGGAAACAGTGTACTCAGTCAAGAACCATCTGGACCAAAAATGAAAACAGCAATTCCGGTAAAAGAAAAACGTTTTTTTTTATTTTATAAAATTACTTTTACATATTGATTTCTCTAGGGACCTTTATCTAAACAATATATGAATGATTTGGAAAAAACTCAAGTAAATTAATCGAATATAATCTTTGTATATATATAAATTACTTTAGAACTCATTAAGTACAATCTTTGTTCTTGATGTTGAAAAATCAATTGGAAATTATTCAGTTGATGTTGATGGAAATATTATGTTAGATGTTTATGAACAGATTGCTTCGCTTCCTTTAGGTATCATACTCGAATTTTTTCGATAGAAATAATTATATTAAAATGATATTCTCTATTAGGTTATAATCATCCATCAATTCAAAAAGTTTTTCAAAATCCAGAAAATCTAGTTTGTTTTTATCTTTTTAAAAATAAAATTATTTAATTCGTAATAGAGTCAACTTGTCAATCGACCAGCACTTGGAGTTCATCCAACACCACAATTTATTAAACAAATTAATCAAACATTACTTCCAGTAATTATTATCTTTATACTATTTTATTTCCCATCAAAACATATCTGTGTTATAGATTGCACCTAAAGGTCTTGAATATGTTCAACCAATGATGTGTGGTTCATGTTCAAATGAAAATGCATTCAAAGCAATATGTATTTGGCATGCAAATAAAAATCGTGATGGAAAAGCGTTTACTGAAGAAGAATTAAAATCATCATTGTATAATCAAGCACCAGGATGTCCAACAGTTTCGATAATGTCATTTGAAGGAGGTTTTCATGGTCGAACATTTGGTAATAGAAGAATAGAGATAAATTATTTTGAATTTATTTATTTATTTTTCTTTAGGTGCATTATCATGTACGCATTCAAAAGCTATTCATAAACTCGATATTCCAAGTTTCGATTGGCCAATTGCACCATTTCCAAGATACAAATATCCATTAGAAGAAAATCAACGAGAAAATCAAAAAGAAGATGAAAGATGTTTAGCTCGTGTAAGCATTTTTTTTTAGAATGAATTTATGATGATATGAAAATTATTTGAGAAATGAATGACATATAAATAGACGTAATCTAGGAGCAGGGGCGTAGTGATTAGGGGGCGTGTGGGGTGTCACGCCCTCCCCCTGTTTTTGGAACTTAAAGTACTGAAGTTTTGCGCCTCCCTGCCTTGGAGACCTCGCTACGCCCCAGTCTAGGAGATATCAATAAGTTAGTAAAGATTCATCTGTGTTCTCTGATAAAATTCGACACCATTCATTGATGAGGAAAATTACTTGAGCAGTTGAAGTATCAGATTTCTATCTTACGAAAAGAATCTTTCTTATTAATTATTCTATAAGACAAAACTGAAAAGTTTGCTACGACTTGTCTTCGAATGAATCATGCTGATTGCCTTTTAACCTTGATTATAATAAGAATGTTTATCATTCATATCAACTATCATTTTGTTTTGATTATAGAACATAAAAGCATTTGATGAATAATTCCCTTTAGGCTTTGCTTAAAAGCTTTTATTTTTTTTTTATTTAGATCGAAGAATTATTTCATGAATATAAATCAAAACAAAATCCAGTTGTGGGTGTTGTAGTTGAACCTATTCAAAGTGAAGGTGGGGATTATCATGGTAGTGCAACATTTTTTCAACGTCTGCAAAAACTTATTAAAAAAGTTTGATTATCGATAAGAAAAAAATAATTCGAAAAATTTCGTTATTTATTTCAGAATAATGCAGCATTACTTATTGATGAAGTACAAACTGGTCTTGGTGCAACAGGAAAATTTTGGGCACATGAACATTTTAATTTACCTGAATCACCTGATTTAGTTAGTTTTTCAAAAAAATTTCAAACAGGTGGTTATTTTGCAAAAAGTGAATTTCAACCAAAACAGGTTAATTAATAACAAGAAAACGAATTATATCGTTGATTTTCTTTTTTTCTTATGTAGCCCTATCGTATATTTAATACATGGATGGGTGAACCAGCAAAAATGTTAGTACTTGATGCTATTTTAAAAACAGTTAAACAAGAAAATTTAATCGAAAATACGAAAAAAACTGGTGATGTTTTATTAAATGGTTTGAAAAGTTTAAATCAAAAATATCCACAATTATTTTATAATATTCGTGGTCTTGGAACATTTTGCGCATTTGATATGCCAAATGCATCAGTACGAGATAAATTTCTTGTTCAAATGAGAAATGCTGGTACGTAGGAAAAATAAATCTATGAAATTAGTTTTTAATGAGATTTTTATTTTCTATAGGTATTCAAATGGGAGCATGTGGTGATGTTGCTGTACGTTTTCGTCCAGCATTGATTTTTGCCGAAAAACATGCTAATATTGTTCTTGATAAAATGAATGAAGTAGCAAAGAAGTTTTAAACTGATTTATTAAAAAATAAATTAATCCGAATATAATCAATTAATAATAAAATTCATTATTTTTCATGCTCGAAATATAATATCTCAATTAATCTTTTCTGGTCGGATTTTGCCGTAGGGGGGTACGACATTTTTACGAATAGCCAACCGGAAAAGGTTAATTGAATAAATGGTTTTCTTTTTTTGTCTGAGTGTAATGCATGGATACGATAAGAATCGATAAGAAATGTTTGTGTAGAAGTAATCAGTATAAGTGTTTTTCAATGATGATAGGAAATAGAACTGTTTAAATTATAAGATAATTACAGAGTTGATAAGATTAAATGTGAATATGATTTTTTAATATATTCTTGAGATGCACTAGTAAACCGATACTACACGATGTGACAATTCCACTATTTAAGTGGTATTAACAAAGTAAGATATTTAATGATTAATAAATATTTCCAAAATTCAGTATCAGATTGCTTTATTAACTCAGACAAAGTAGTATATAATGTTAGTTGATAAATAGGAGAAATCATGTTGACATTCATTATTCTTGAAGATATTTAATCCATCTATATTCTGATGATGACTGATCAAATGTCACAACAAAACATATTATCAGCATATTTATTTAATAGTAGTAAGTTATATTAAATTTCTATTCAAATGTAAATGTCCTGCGAGAATAAGATGAAAATTCCCATCTGTAGCGATACTGTTATGTTTCATAGTAGTTTTTATACGTGCAAGACGAATCAATATAGTACTTGATGAAGTTACTATGGTAACGAATTAGAAAAACATACATATATATATATATATCTAATATACAAAAGTAGCTGTTATTAGAATAGCTTCTTCTTGATTTATGTGACAAGTAATAGAACAGCAACATATATAATAATCTCTCTCAATGTCAATGAATGCCAGAGACATCTATAAAATTATTTTTTGAATTAAAATAACCTTCTACAAGGTTATTAATTATTCTTTTCGTAATTATTTTCAAATTAAATAGAAAAATTTTTCTAATAAATTTAAAGAATAATTTCATTGCATACAATTTCAAACAAATATTCTCTGGACAATTTAATCATTGTTGCATTTCGCAAGCAGACCAAAACAAGTAACCAAGCGCGAATTTCTTCAATCAATGACACAATCTACAATATTACCTTGGATTGAAAAATTAAAATCAGCTAAAAAAGCTGGTCTACTTCAAAATGGTACCGTTTTTTTCTAAAAATTCTTTATCAAAAAAAACAAATCTATAATAATTATTTTAAGATCGAAAAAAGGTTCATTATACATTCGATGATCAAACTGAAATGGTAGAAGAATATGATGCAAAAACAAACTTACTTTTAAGTAAAATATTTAATATAATTTTTCTCAACAAAAAAAAATAAATATAGTTCGAAAATGGCGTCAAAAACCAAGCAGTGGTTTAAAAACTCTTGCTTCATCAGATATATGGACATTCGAAATCGGTCAAAGTTATGAAACAAAACCATTAGGAGATAATACACTTGGCATGTCGGAAAGTACAACAACAGTATGTATTCAATTTTTTGTAAAATAAAAATTTGCAAATTTTTCTTTTGATTAGCCATTATTCTCAAGAAATGATAAAAATGATTGTTTTGAAATTCGTATAAGAAACTTACCTTATCCAGTTGATATATATCAATTAACCATTGATAAAGATAAACGAGAATTTGTTTTACGAACAACAAATAAAAAGTAAATATTTTAATGAAATAAATCAAAAGAATAAACTTATTTGTAGATATTTCAAACGTTTTTCAATTGCTGATCTTGATCGATTAAATCTTCCATTAGAAGAAAGTAATTTAGCGTATTCTCATGCAAATAATACATTAATTATAACTGTAAGAATATCCTACTTTTCTTATTAAAAATAAATTTTGTTTTTTTATTTAGTATAAAAAACCAAAAGCTATTCTTGATTTCGAAAAAACCGTACATGATGAATTAAAAAAATTAAATATGAAAAAAGAGGGTGATAGTGATTGTGCTGTCAGTTAATTAGTGATATTTACAAATGAATGTCGGACGTTTTTTTTTCCTTCATAGTAATTTTACATTTTAGATGTGATTTGTAGATTAGAACAATGCTATTTCACAGATTACTTTTAACAAAATATAATCCGTCGATAAATTTTAAATTTATTCGTCTGCTAACAACATCATCATCACCCGTACAAATTGAATTTAAAGATGGATTTGCAAATATATCCGTACCACTACCAAGTCGAGGTGAATCATGTGTTTTTCAAGTAAGAGAAATAATAAATATATTTTATAGAAATAACATTTTTATTTTTAGTTAAAACCATTTAATACAACAATTGGTGATTTTGTTGATGTTTTACAGAAAGAAGATCGTGGTATTGATCGAGCATCAATTTTTCTTTCTGATGGATCTCGTCTTTCACGAAATTCACCAGTTGAATTAATGTTTGAAGAACCATTTACATTACGTATTAATGAAACATCCTATAATGTTCAACCGCCAACTTTATTTACATCAAATAAACCAGCTCGAGATGTACTTTCGGATGTATCAAATTCAGTTACAAAACTTTATCATGATTTACGTCTTAATCAATATGTGATGTATCGTGAACATGAATTAGAAAGACAGTTAGCATTCTTACGTGAATCTGCTCAACCTCTCAATGAACTTCATCATCAACTTGCTAATAAAGCTATTCGACGTTTAAAATGGTTAGTAATCTTATCTATATACATACAATATTGAATAAAAGGAGTGAATAATACGTGTATTAACTTTGAGTGTTATACACATTCAGTAGTAGGAACCTGCACGGAGTCAAGTAAGTTTCATGTTAATAATTCAATTTTAACGTTAAAAATTATTTAAGTTCATAGTTTTCTTGTCCGACATTTTCTCTATAAAATTACGTATTTTGAAAGATCGGCAGACGTCTTATCGAGTCTCACAAACCAAAATAAAATACAGAAAAAGTCGGAGTCGAAAATGACTCCGATTTTCTTTTGTGTTGGCGAGGTTCAACAAAGCATCGATCTATCCTTCAAAATATATAATTTTGTAGAGAAAATGTCAGACAACAAAACTATGAACTTGAATAATTTTTAACGTTAAAGTTGAATTACTGACATGAAATTTACTTGACTCCGTGCAGGTCTCTATTCAGTAGAAATCAATATTAATATTTCAAAGTATGATTCATTATCGTTTATATTAAGACATAGACAAGTATCATATCATTGAAAACAACAGAATGCGAATACTTAATTATTGTTTTCTATGTACTTTTACGAACACGGTGACATTTTAGGTTAAAAATAGATTATTATTTAGTATCATCTTGACAAACAATTATAGAAAATAAGGATAATAAATATTTTTTGTATTTTATTTAAGGGTTCAATGGTCAATTCTTGCTGCCATGTCATTTCAAACCGGTGTTTTATTTCGATTAGTTTGGATTGATTATAGGTACTTTCATTTTTTTTTGTTTAAATAAAAATTGCTTTTTCTTTATATTTTAGTTGGGATATAATGGAACCTTTTACTTATTTTATTTCATATTCAGCTGTATTCATGGCTTATTGTTATTATATACTTCGTCGACATGATATGAAATATATGAATATGTCCGATTATTTCTATTTAAAAATTTTACATCGTTTATTACGAAAGAAAAATTTTGATTTAGCACGTTATAATGCTTTAAAAAATGAAATTATGATTGTTGAACATGATCTTCAACGACTTAAAGATCCATTGGATCGTATTGTTGGAGCACCATAAAGATTTCGTTTATTTTATTTTATTTTATTTGTAAAATATTTAATCATTATTGTCTATTGCTTTTGTTCTTTTGTATTTGCTATTCCTTAGAGATAAGAAAAAAAAAACAGTGGAAATGCATTTGATATTTTTAGTTAAGTGTAATAATATATATACGCATATTTTTATTTTAGTTTTTCTTATATTTTCCTATTTACATCTATTTAATTATGGGTCGAAAGAAAAAGAAACAAACTAAACCTTGGTGTTGGTATTGTAATCGTGAATTTGATGACGAAAAAATTCTTTTACAACATCAAAAAGCAAAACATTTCAAATGTCATTTATGTCATAAGAAATTATATACTGGACCCGGTTTACAAATTCATTCAATACAAGTATAGATATTATTTTCTTATTTATAAAAAAATTAAATAAAAATTTTTTTTCTTCTTTCATTTAGGTACATAAAGAAAATATTGATAAAGTACCAAATGCACTTAAAGGACGAGATAATATTGAAATTGAAATTTATGGTATGGAAGGAATACCAGAAGAAGATCTTCGTGCACATGAAAAACGACTTGCTGGTAAAGATAAAGATGACTCAGATATTCCTGATACTGTTAAAGTACCACAACCACCACCAATGGGTATGCCACCTATGCCACCCATGGGTATGATGCCTAATGCACCAATGATGCCAATGGGTTTTCCTGGTATGCCATTTGGTATTTCTTCTATGCCACTTCCTATGATGCCTGTACCAATGATGCAACAATTACGACCACCAATGCCTATGGTTCCTACGGCACCGGGTAATTCACCAAATAATCTTCTTCCTCCAGTTCCTTCTAAGCCACTATTTCCAAGTGGAGCTACAGATGTAAGTTGAATTTATTAAAAAAATCAGAATCAATCTTTTATTAAAATATAGAATAATAATGATGGTCATTCATCGTCTAATCTCACAACAATGGCATCAGCTGCAGCAGCAATATCCAATTTATCAGCTACGAATCTTGGATCATTGCCCGGAAATCGAGCAAAAATAGAACCTGTTGCTGGTACTGCAAAAATTATACATCCAGATGATGACATATCATTAGTAAGTTTAATATTTAATTCTAAAACTAAATTATATCTGCCATAATAGTATTCTATTTATTAATTTTTTGAATATTTCTGTTTATATTACTTTTATGAGATAAGATTACAGTATATATTATCTTCTATTGTCATTTGAGACAAGAAATTTTATATGATTATTTGAATATTTTATTTAGGAAGAATTTCGTGCTTGTTTGCCGAAATACAAACAAATGATGATGCCACAACAAATGCAAATGCCTCCAATGCCTGTTGGTCTTTCTATGGCAAATTTTGTAAGACGTATGTATTTAGTTATTTACTTTGTATTTTTATTATTTCTTTGGAACAATTTTTCGTTATTTAGCCCCAATGGGTGGTATGCCATTTTTAGCTCCACCACCAGGCTTTGCACCTATGGGATTTAATGGTCCACGTTACTGATATTACAAAAGGAAAACAATGTACGTGGATATTTTTTTTGCTTATTTTTCTTCTATTTTGTCTTTTGTATATATACATATATAAAAAGATGAACAATTCTCATTTTGTCGTTACACTCCTTTCTTTCTTTCTTTCTTTTGTTGCAATCGATGTCTATTCTCATTCTTTGATTGATTATCTTCATTTTTTTTCTGTCACTAAGTGTTTTGTTTCATTATGTCTGTGTGTATGTTGATAAAAATTCTGGAAGATAATATTGATTATACATATTTATTTATTTATCTGCCTTGTTCTAGGTTGCTTACATGTGAATAATGTGTGCGTGCTATGATAGACACAGACTCAATGTCAGGTCGGTCTCTCACACGACACCAAGTCACAGTAGTAACGATAATCTCTATGATTCTTTGATTTATAAATTCATATTTTGCTACACACGCTATTAAGCTATCTATATAAGTGAGCTTTTAAGAGAGGAAAATATTTTTCTTGATCACATACATTCAAATGAAAACAGTCTATATGTTATTTTTCTTTTGATAAGTAAACAACGACTGATATAAAATAACTACTGTTATTAATATTTGATTCCAATATTTTCTTTCTAAAAAATGAATGCTCTATAAAATGATTTTTATCAGACCAGTTTTCATTGTAAATGATGAAATTCAGTGCAAAAAATCAGATATTCATTTCAGTTTCATGTAAGCTCAGTTTGTTAGATTTAATGAGTTTAAATTATGTGACTACCAAATATTATCGAATGATAGTTTCATATGTGAATTTGCTTTATAAGTCATTCACTCAAGATATTCGAATAAGATTGCTCTTTCACTAAAACTTCAGCGACTATAAGATATTACCTAGATCCGACGTTAGAAAGTTCTTTCCGACATATTTCATTTTTGATTCAACCCTATTGAATATAGTTTGCTGACAAAATATCAGTGCCTACTCTTGTAAACGATTTCTGCCAGCTAAATATACATATAGACATGTTGCTCAATAGCGATCATTTATTTAAATAGTTGTATTCTTTTCAACAATATGATTTGATAATATTTCAATAACAATAATTATTTATTGAGAAAAAAATGAATTTTCACATCATACTAAGAACTAATTTACAAAATTTTCTAATTTATCGAGTATCACCCATTATAATATCAGAATACAATAGTTGCAGTTAGTATAGTGAAGTTTCAAATTGATGTAAACACGCTGAATAAAAAAGAAACAATTCTTATTGTTATATATGTATTACAATATTTATTCTAATAGATAGAGGCAGTATTAAATATTCATAAAATAAGTTGTGACTGATTTTATGAATATCGATATTGTATAGGATGAATAATTCAAGATCAAAGATTATAAAGGAAGATCATCGTCCGTAACAATCGGATATAAGATATACTTTCAAGTTGTACATGATAGTTTATTAAATTAACTGTGACAGTCTTTTGATATAGAAGCTTTTCGATTCTGTAAAATAATATAGATTTATTTATTTAAAAAAAATCCAAATATATATAAGAGTGCAATAGGAAAAAATGAATCATCAGATTACTAAAACAACTCATTTTCTACTCCTAACTCTAATTTATTACATCTGCCTCAAAACTATATTTATCACATATACATAAAACAATCAATTATATGATATTGAAAATTTCAAAGAACTTTTTTTTTCTTAACAGCTTAAGATAATATTTGCGCAATCGATAATCAATTGTTTGCTTATCGTTGAAATATTGCTTTTAGAAGTTGTATCAAAGAAAATTATCAGTCAGAACGATAAAAGTACGAGTATCTATTTAACCGATAATGAATATCTGCGATGACCCTTTCGAACTAAAAGTACGAATACCTACTTAAACAATATTGAATGTCTGCAATGACCCTTCGAACTAAACGTACGATATATAACAGAAGAAGTGATATTACTGGTTATAATCTCTGTCTCTCTCTTCTTCTCTTTCTTTTGACTATGAATGTTAAATGGCTATTCTTTCTTTCTTTACGACCTTCGCTCTTCTCTATATAAGACCTGGTTAGCGTGTTAGAATATCAGTTTCTAATAATTTCTTCTTTCATTCAATTTACATTACTGAAAAACATAAAGCAAAAAATATGCAGGTAAAATTTATAATATATTTTTATCGAGTGAAATAATAACAGTAGAAATTTACTTAACATTATCTTACTTCTTTTATGTGGTATCTATTTAGAACGATCTACTTGCTAATCTTCCAGCTAAATCAATTCCTGAATTTCTCGAATATCAAGCTCAAAATCGTCCAAATAAAACTTATCTTTTATATCCTGATCTTACATCAGATCCACTTCGTTATGCATCGGCTACATTTGCTCAAGTTAATGATATTGCAAATCATTTAGCTAATAAATATGCAAAACATATTGACATTTCATCTAATTCACAAAAACCAATTGTTGTTGGTTTATTAGCTAATACTTCAGTTAATTATCTTCTAACATTCTATGGCTTAGTTAAATTAGGTGTTGTAGTTTTTACATTATCAATTCGTAATTCGAAAGCAGCATTAGAACATCTTATAAAAACAACTGGAGTATCCTATTTAGTAATTGAACCAGGACAAATTCAAATTGAACTTGATGGATTGAAATTAATTCCATTAGAAAATATTGATTGGAATAAGAATTATAATTCTTCACAACCAATCAATAGAACAGAAAAAGGTTCACTTGAAGATTCTCAACTAATCTTACACAGGTAAAAAACAATTCTATTTCATCTGCTCTGCTAAAGGATAATTTTGATTTCTAGTTCGGGTTCAACAGCATTTCCAAAACCAATTCATTTTACAAATCGAGGTCTTTTTTACGTTCATGAGGTTCAATCAAATGCCAATAATGGCTATCGGAATGAAAATGATGTCGTTCTTACATTTGGTGCTCTGTAAGTATCTAATTATCTAGCAAACTACTAAACTATCAATAGTTTAATATATTATTGATATTTAGATTCCATATATTAGGGTTGGGCACAGCTATAGGTTGTTTAATATCTGGATCAACCTATGCACTTCCTCTATCAAAAATCTATCCACCAACTCCTAAACAACTTGTTGCCAATATTCAAGCAGAACAAATCAATAAAATTGTCTCTGTACCAATTCTTCTTGAACAACTTATAAATGAATTGGAGTCTGATAAATCAGCTACATATGCACCATTAAAACGATTGAAACATATTTTTTACGGAGGTGCAAGTTTACCAGAACATATTGCTCGTAAATTTGTTGATAATGGAGTTCGTCTTACTTCTTCTTACGGAACAACAGAAACTGTAAATCGATATGAATATTTCATTCGTAATAGTATTAATATTATTTATTTAGGGTATGGTAATGTTGAATGATTTAAATGCACCGATAGCACGATATAATTTTATGAAAATTGCTGAATGGCGAAAGCCTTTTGTTATAATCAGACCAGATGATCATGTTGTAAGTAATTTATTTAGAATTCTTAATTAAATAAAAAAGAATATTTTTAGTTGGTACATTTACCTAATGATCCATTTTGTCAACCAGGTATTGCTAATCAACCTGATGGTTCTTATGATACAAATGACGTATTCATTGAAGATCCACCTGGATCTGGTGAATATCGAGTAGAAGGTCGTCAAGATGATACATTAATTCATGTAAATGGTGAAAAAACGAATGCTATACCTATGGAACACAATATATGTGCTTTTCCTATTGTAAAACACGCTGCTGTTTTTGGTCATAAACGTTTATGTACTGGTGTCTTGATTGAATTAAATCGCGAAGAAGCTGATAATTATTCCAATGATGAAATTCCGGATCTTGTCTGGGAAGCTGTTCAAGCAGCTAATAAAACAGCACCAAATCATTCAAGAATAGTTCGTCAAATGATTAAATGTTTACCTATGAGTAAAACTTTATCTGTTACTGATAAAGGAAATGTAAGTTGATAGTTTTAAATTAAAAAGTTTAATTCTTTCAATCAAATATATTTAGATAATGCGTAAACGAATTTATAATGATTATGCTGATGTAATTGATAAATTATATGAAAAATTTCTTAAACCAGATCAACAAAATACAGAATTATCAAAAGGAAATAAACAAGAATGGGATCAAACTTCACTTAAAAATTATATTCTTGAATTATTAACTAAATTAAATATTAAAGATTCTGATCAAGATTTTGATACATCAAAATCTATATTTGATGTTGGATTTGATTCTCTTCATGCTGTTCAATTACGTAATGAATTAACTTCAATATTTCCTTCAATTCCATTAAATTTTATATATGAATTTTCAACAATTGATTCCATGGTTGATGAATTAATTTCAAGAAATAATAAAATCAATACAAAATCGATTAATAATGATCCTAAACATTATGTTCTTACAGAAAATTTAATTGATAAATATATTAATCTAATGAAAAATGATTCATCACCAATAAATCCGATTAAAAAAAATAATAAAGAACGAATTTTTTTAATTACTGGAGCGAATGGTTCACTTGGTTCATGGATTGTTCTTGATTTATTGAAACATGATTCAGTATCAAAAGTCTACTGTTTCTTTCGTGGTCAAGATAAAAGTCGGATTATAAAAGAATATGAACAACGTTATCAAACAACTGATATATTCAATGAAAACAATAAGCGTGTTGTTCTTCTTGGTAATATGTCATTATCCGAAGGATTCTTAGGACAAAATTATGATTTATATAATCAATTATGTAATGAAGTTACTGATATTGTTCATTCAGCGTACCGTATGGATGTAAGTAGAGTGAAATTTACAAGAAAAATATTGTTATTATTATTTCTTTATAGTTTAATATGACTGTTCGTGATTTTGAAAAAGATGGTATTCTTGGCACATATAATTTATTAAAACTAGCACGCAAAGCAAATGCTCGTTTTCATTTTATTTCAAGTGTAGCTTCGTCAGGTTCAGGTATTGTACCTGTTGTTAAAGAAGAACCTCTTATTCGACGACCAGAACTTCCAATAGCACAAGGTTATGGTCAAAGTAAATATGTTTGTGAACATCTTGGTGCTGCAGCTAAACAATTATGGAGTAAGTTTTCTTTTTTTGTTAAATATTCTTTTTATTTGTAAAATTATTATTAATTGAAGATGTACCAGTTGATATTTATCGTATTGGTCAAGTATCAGGTGATAGTATAAATGGTGCGTGGAATACATCGGAAATGGTTTCATTAATCATCTGTATTGGTGGTGGTCAACTTGGTCAAATGCCAAGTCAAGGCCAAGATGTACGATGGATTCCAGTTGATATTGCTGCATTATCAGTTGTTGATATAGCATTACAAGATTATATAAAATCTGATGATGTACATCATGTACTTAATCCTCATTCAATAACATGGTCAACTTTTCTTGATTATCTTAAAAAAGCTGGTCTTCATTTTCGAATAGTTAATCCAGCTGAATGGCTTGATATGGTGTTAAAATCTGAAACAGCATTGGTCAAACTTTCATCATTTTTTGATACATTTTTTACATCAAAAACAGGATTTCAAATATCAGAATATGAAACTGTTAAAACTGAAGCACGATCAAAATATTTACATTCATGTCCATCAATTAATGTAGATTTAATTCATAAATATCTTAAATTTTGGCATGATACCGGATTTCTTACTAATGGATATCCATAAACTAAATTTAATAACCTGTACTGTATCTTACCTTGTATATATATATATAAGTTTATTATATTTCTTAGTATAATCTTTTTCTTTTCAAAATAATAAAGAAGCATATTAATAATCTTCTAACATACGCTGTTATTTAAATGAAATAACAGACAATCAATCGTCATACTAATAGACTTTCACATCATGTACCTATTATTTATTTGCTTTGAATTCTAGATACTTGTACCCATGATTGGTCTAAGTGAGTCGAGAACAATTCTTTTGATTTACTTCTTTGAGAAGATGTTAATATTTTTCCATTGATCTTTTATGAATAATTTCTCAGATGTATATGCAATAATTCTTGTATGTTCTTTCTCGAAATATTTATTCTTTTTTAGGTAATACTTTTTTTTCGAACATGAACTGAATACGAGAAGGCGAGTGTAATACATTAAAAGAATGAGTATTATTCCATAATTTTAAGTAAATTGGTACATAATGGTATGATTTGTAGGATTCATTCGATTGATTATAACCGTCAAATATTATTGTAAGATGCTTTTTAAAAGCTGTAAAATTGGAGAAAATAGAAAAATGATTCATCCGATTGGTCGGGTACATTTATGACTCCCAAGGAAGAAGTATATATATATATATATGCTACGTATGTCAATATATTCTTCCCATTTTTCACCTTATCAGTCAAACCATTTTATCACTTTTCTCTTTCGTTATATTGGAAGTTTCTTTTTTGATTAGTAAGTAAAAATAACCCTATTTATTATTAGTCAGTCTTTTAGTTGACAGGTTTGACAATTACATAATTTTATTGGAAAAAAAATGCGTTAGTCATCATCTGTTATCTGATAAATGCGTGACACTATATATATTATCGATACAGTTATGGTCGATGTCATAAAAGGAAATAGTCGATGAGTAAATAAAACTCAAGTGATTCAACAAACGTCTAGTTTATGTTATTTTTTGGCGCTTTTGATTTACATTGGAAATAGAAAGAAAACATGAAGCCTTTTGAACTTGTTTTTTTCATTACTATGGTTGGTTATTGTAAACGTCAAATAGAAACAAAACTTCTCAGTGGAAGAAGCCACGTTATTTCCAATGGGCAGGAAGTCTATGACTAATAATTTTTTTCGAAATTATATATACGGTCGATGTTTTCATAATTGAAGAATAAACAGAACATTTTATTAGTCACTTCCTTTGTTGTTCAGCAATAGTATAATGTCGAGAATGTATCAGGAATAATCATTTATCAGTGAAGGAATTGAGTGAGTAACTTACTGGTTTTTGAAGGTATATCTTTTTATATAGGGTGGGTGTGAATGTGAACGTGGTCGTCGATATTCGCTGTATCTAGCATCCACACTCACACTCATACGCAGATGGTTCTGTGGTAGCTAACGTTACCAAAGTTTCCATAGTACTTCCTAGATCCAGGAGAAGACTGAGTGGGGTTGGGGACACTGCAACATCGGGTACCTCGTTAGTACATTTATATATGGAAAAAGAAGAATAGTTGTTTGTGTGTGTGTTCTTTATGTATTTGGTTCCTGTAATAGCTAGCGTCACCAAATTTCGTACGGCACTCTTCTGGGTCCAGAGAAAGGTCGGGAGAGATTGATGCGATCGATGGGGTAGTGGAAAGATACTGGATTAAATTTCACCCAGTTTTGATAAAATGTGACTTTAGGAATGTACCCAGCCCGGGCCTCTTGGCCTCGGTCAAAGCTCGAGTGTGAATGCGGGTACTATCCTTTTCACTCTCCTCACACCCACACCCTAATTTGCTCTGCACCTATTATGGAAGCCATTAATTGTTTTCGAAAAGTATTAACCCAGTATAAATTGTTTTGAACAGTATTCTAAACGAATAATGCGAATCGATACAGATAGATCTGCTTTTTGTCAGATTTAAAATAATTATTTTGTGTAAACTATTTTATTAAGCATAAATTAAAAAGTAGTATTATGTTATGAAAATATTACCCGTAATTACTAGCATATTACGAAAGTGATGAAATACTCAGTATATATTACGTTGCAGCTGATGGGATAACACATTCATATTTGAAATTTTGAAAGTTTATAATTTTTTAATTGCATAATTTCAGATCGAATGAATGAAACCTTTAGCAAATGCGATGGCACCGACGAACCACTTGATGTATCATACAAAAGATCATGCCCATTAGGTATCTATGATTGCAGAGATATACAGGTTAAATAAAAGAAAACTAATTTAATCATATTTTAACTTTATTTTTAGTATATTTTTAGATTAATAGAAATTCTTTACAGGAACATTATTTGTCTGAACAACATCAAAGAAGTCTCGTCAGACGTATACAGCAGTTTATCGAAAGTACGAATGATGATTCCACGAAAACAAATATAGATAAAGATAAAGAAAATACTTCAATACAATCAATTTATGAGAAACTATCAATATTGACACAAAATATAGAAACGACTTATGATACACTTGATCAACTCAGCAGCGATGTACATCGATGTAACAATCAAAATTGCATTCTTGCTTCAGAATTGAAAGACATAAAAGATGCATATACATTAGAGAATGCTCATATTAATGCGTCATCACTTAATCAAAATGTTTTAAAACACGATATGATAGATTTGAAAGAAGAGATAAATATTGCGAACGAAAGAATACATGATGAATACAATGGAATGATGGTATGGAAAATAACTGACATACATGAAAAAAGAACTGATGCTCAGTCGGAAAGAAAAACAAGTGTTTATTCATATCCTTTCTATACTTCAAAGTGCGGGTATAAATTATGTCTTCGACTCTATCTCAATGGAGATGGTGCAGCACGAGATACTCATTTATCGCTTTTTCTTGTCATTCTTCGTGGTGAATACGATGCACTATTGGAATGGCCATTTTCTTATCGAGTATCCTTTTGCTTGTGTGATCAAAGAACAATGATTGAAACAAATGGAACAACTGAACCTAAACATATTATTGAATCTTTTCGACCTGATCCTAATAGTGTAAGTTTCAAAAGACCTACTTCAACAATGAATATTGCATCTGGCATTCCAAAATTCTTCCCATTAGATCAATTCAATCGACCAGCAAATGAGAATTTATATGTTGTAAATGATACAATTTTTATAAAAGCTATGATTGATTTTGCGAAAGTACCTCGTTCACTGCTTCCTTTTATTTTTCGTATGGATATTTCTTTACCTGAACATATAAGACAAAAATTAATCGAGAATGAAATAGAACGTCGTCAAATACAAAATATTAACTGATCTATAAATTAGACTTCGCAAATTGGTGTGCATATGTTCGAAAATATTAATGATATTTATTCACATTTTTCAGTATATAATATTGTTTAAAAAAGAACATCGATCATAAATCGAATTAGTCTTCATCAATTTATTGTTTTACTTAATAAAAATTTTTATTTTCTATTACTTGTTTCTATTTCGATTTATATTCTTAATTTTATATTTGATTTAAAAGATAAAGAATACGAAGCATTGAGTTATTCATTAATATAGTTGAATATGAAACTTCTTCATAGAAAGGCCAAGTCTAAAACAGATGAATTAATTTAAACAACTAGTTGGTCGATGATATTTTTTTTATAATATACATTCTATACGACGTATTATTTTTGAAAAGAAAAAACAGCTAGAGTTCATTTTATGCAATACAATAATATGATCAAATATCGATGACAAACATCGGATATATTATATTTGAAAAATAATATTGATCTAATATGTAATTCAATTCTTAAGAATAAACCAGATTTAGTATTATCTTAATGAATCATTAATAGGCAATTATTCATCTAGAATTTAATATGATTTTATGACAAAACACCTCTCAGTATTTTTTACATATACATTCATAATGATGATATAGTGAATAACATTATATATATTTAATACAGAAATTCTAAAGTATATTTTACAGATCATGATTCTAATGAATACAATGTCACAGAACCTTCTTTGAAGTTGATGAGACAACAAGCATATCATTACATATGAATACATATTGCTTTATTTCTCGTACACGTGTATCATAAACATTTCATATCGTAAGTAGTTGTATTCGTATTGATTTATTAATGAGCAATATTTAGTATTTCTATTATTACTAACATACTATCAATACATCAATTGTAGATGTTTTTAAAATTGTTGAAAATGACTAATGACATAAATAAGGTTACAGAAAACTTTTATCTAATTCACGATTTCTAGAAGTCTTCTTGAAGCTTAAGTAAGATAAAATAGAATGTTCATGCGTACAGTTATTTATCCAATTCAGAGTTTAGCATATTTCGTCGTAAATATATTGAATTTATTTTATGTTAAAAAACTATCATTAAATTAGTCAAAGTAATAGTAAACTGTGATTTAATATTGTTGATATGAACGCAATGACCTTTGCCGTTTATCGTACTTGAAAGGTATCTATGTAGAAGTTAAATTGTTGCACTCTAAATTTAGAAGAATGCCTGGCTTTGACAATCAAATGGAGAATAATTTAGTGAGTAGCTTGTTTAAATAATAGATTTAAAGACATCTGACAAATAACAGATCATACGTAATATGGGCACTTGACATCTACATATCATTCATAATAGATTTCATCCCAGTTATCATAAAATAAAAAAGTAGTATTTTTTATATCTATCGCATATAATTATTGAATTTCTTATGAGACAAAATATAACAAATATTTACTCGCTTTTAGAAAAAAAATCATCATATTCGACTTCTTTTGAGTCGATACGATTCCAAAGATTACTTATCTAGATCATATACTTGCCACAAGTGTATAGTATGAAAACTTTTTTCATTTTCACTCTTTCCTTAATTTCATACTGCTGATGAATCGATCCATTACCATTTCGGAATGTAATTTGTATTCTTTTTTTCTCTCTTGTTTCATACGCACATACGCATTCCGTGCACATGTGCTCACGTTTAGAGTTATAAGGCATTCACTATTTAAAAACGTTCATCAATACAGATTTTACTAAATTAAAAAAGAATACGTTATATATTAAAGAATTTGGAAGATGTTTTAGTAAAAATAATTGAGAAAGATTTTATTAAACATTATTTACATTTTTTTATTTAATCATAGAAATTATTCTTCTCTTTCGCTTTTATCAACTTTTTTATTGAAAGGAATATCGTAAACATTTTTTTCTTTATACAAAATAAGGTGCTGGATGTATTCTAACACTTGCAGAAGTAATTCTAAAAAGTTTTCAGCTCATAGAGATGAAACTGTCTATCATAAAAATATACTTCAAAGAAAATTTTCTTTTTAAAAAAGTTACCAGACCATGACTTATTTAAATTCTTTTCTTCGAAGTTATTTAACGTAATTATAAAAATATGTTATGATGAGCGTCTTGTCACCGAATAAAATGAGTTAAAATCTAACGAAGAATTCTATGTAACCGATAAGTTCCCTTTCAATGAAATATATTCAGACCTAGATTATTGACTATGGTGTTCATGATATTTGTCAATATTTCTACAGATCAGTGAGCGTGGCAAGTAGTTCATTAAAACCTATTTTTTGTTTACATAAACATGTTTTTGAATGACTTATAGCAATAACTTTGATTTTACAAAGTAAAATGCAAACCACGTATGAGAGAAAGGAAATTGTTGACTATATATACTACTCGACCTAGTAAGTAGAATGAGGGAGATTGAAAATAAGATCGACATTTCAAGTCATTCTTCCAATTATTTATTGTTTTTCGAATACTATGAAAGTGAATTTGAAGGGCAATATTATGCATAAGGTTTCATAAGAAGAACTTGAAGTTACTCAACATTTAACCAAAATGATTAAGTCATTACTTAATCGTAAATAGTTTGAAAATGAAGAATATCGATATTCGATTAGCTTTGAATTGTGAAGATCGTAATAGACCAAGAATCTTGATAGTTTCTAAGTGCTTGAATTTTAGCTTTTTATAAAATTGAGAAGAATAGCATGTAACACGAATACTTTCATTTCAAAGTGAACGAAACACATCTCATGTAGTTACTCTGATCAAAAACAACGATAACATAAACGATATAAAAACCTTATAAAACGACAAAGACTGATTTTATTGCGTCGTCGTCTTCGAGGGTCACCATGATCGTCGTGAGTACATTCAATAATATATTCCTATATAGCTTAGACTGAAATTCCATTAAATGGATAATTAATTGGTTCTATATACTCAAGTCTTCAGAAACCTTTTGGTAAAATGAAAAAAATGATTTTAAAACATTTGTTTCAGCCTAAAAACGTTGTCACTACATATTCAAAATCTGGTAAGCTGACATCATCGTTAATATGGCATTTACATGACAGTTGCTTAATTCCATGTATAGACAAGAGATGTCTAGTTTTATCTGATCCATATCCAGAAGAAATCGATTGGCAATAATCAGTGCGAAAGAATTAACGTTATTGTACTAATACTTCTTATATACAACGAACTTCCATCACCTATATATGAGAAAATTTTTACAATATTCCTAGTTCTCTGATGGTTATACAAGTGTTAATCTGCCCTCTTTTTAAAACGTTCTTCAAGTTTGTTTCTTGTCAAATCTACGTCAATCAAATAATGTGAAGAACAAAATTATATCGAAACAATCATCATCAACAGTTATTTGTTCAAAAAAAAAACGGAATATTTTCATTACTTCTTTGTTATGTATCACTTTCATAGAAAGAAATACAAGAATTAAGTGAGCCTAGTTAAAAGACTTGTCCGCTCAAGAAACTTATAAAATCTAAAGAAATTTTCAATCGCTATAGGTGTGACTGAGAAATTCGTCTGTGTAAACAAAACAATGAATTTTTTTGATGTATTTGCCATCTTCATGAATTGAAAAGATTAAAAACTCAGTCTCTAGATGCGCATAGATAAATATCATGGTCATATTTGTAATCAGCACAATGAATAATTTATGTCTCACTATATTTCAATGAAAAAGTGATTTATCAGTGCCTTCGTTCGATTTATTAGATTCAAAGCTTTACTTAGCTATCACAATGCTGCTAAAACGTCTCGTCGTTTATTCTCCTATTTTAATTTTTTACGAACGGAAAAATGTTGTATTATGTGTGTAAATAAAAAAACGATTTTTCTTCATGTAAACAAAAAGCTACTTAAACACGTTCGATATATGTCACATGTTACTTTTAGTATATGAAAATTCTCCATCGTATCTCATAACTATTAACTATTTTCTTTTTCATTTATTTATCTTCCTCATTTCTAATACATACATTACATCGAATATATGCTCAAAATGTAATATGCATGCACTTAAACATTACTTGCATTTGCATAATATATTTCAAGAAACAAAAACATCTTTCTATTTTTTCTTCTTCTTCGTTTCCACTAAGCTTTTAGTTTAATAAGTACATTGAAGAAAAATGTATTCTATACTTTTTTTTCACATTACTATTATTATATATGAATAATTAACTTTCGTTAAAATCATATCTATAATAAGAAAAGTAAAATTCTTATTGTTGGGTTGTATAATAGATTATTTAAATCTCTCGCTAAATTGTTCACTATAAGATGGTGCATTTATTTTCATAACAAGAACATGTGCTTTTTTTTTGAATGAGAATAACACATTGTAGTTTGAAAATTGTAAAAAATGTCTAAAATAGATGAATCTTAATTGACAGTGACAGCATAACTTTTGACAAAATGAATTAATCCGATTTATCTACTTAATAAATACGAACTGAGAAAACAAAAAAACACTAACTACCAATTAAGATGCATTGAAAAATGACCTTGAGTAACTGCCGTCATCAGCAATAGCAACATTTTTCAATGTATTTTACTCTTTCTTTTCTCTTTCTTCAGTTAAAAAAAAACTTATGAATAACGTTCTCTCCGACAGCATCGAAAGAATTATAACTTCTCGCGCTCTCATTTTTTCTTTTTTTTTCTTTTGTTTCTTCAAACTTGTCGGTTGTTGCTTTGGTGGTACTCATCGGTAAACGTACATGTATATACAACAACGGACAAACGAACGAACAAATAAGGGTACCGTATTGTTGTCTCCTATGACGACTTCTTCTTTCTGACGTCGTCCATAATACCACTTTCTTTGTTCTACTATTTCGATCAATCATCAGTTTCTAAATTCTTTATTTCTTTTGAATATACGTCATATTGCAGATTGATAAGTACTCTTAGAACATTTCATACATATATATGAATAGTAGATAAGAA